GGTTCAGTTCCCTTTGGGAGTGAAAGCATGTGTCCTTTAGTTAGACCCCATTACTATGTAGTTCTGTTTGTTTGTTTTTATCCTAACTGGACTTAACCTTTTTATTCAGAGATTTTTAGTGCTCTGACTCTTTGATGTAGATAAGAATGAAGATTCAGCGCTGTCCTCACTGGGCTAAACCTTGGGTGGACGGGGGAGGGAGTCAGGGAGTCGCCAGCCTTGTTGGTTTTTGTAGCTCAGGCTGTCTTCAGACTCATAGCAGTCTTCTCCAAACATTTAAAAATTGTGTGTGTGTGTGGGGGGGGCTAGTGAGTAAACCAAGCACACTTATGGAGGCCCGAGGACAATTCTGTGGGGTTAGTTCCCTCCTTCTACCTTTACATGGGTTTGGGGTTGAACACAGATTCAAGGTGGCAGGCACCTTTACCCACTGAGTCCTCTTCGTGGGTCCCTCTCCAACATTTTTATTATTACACACTTACCAGTTTTTTAAAAATAGAAAGCTATGCATGGCCATTTACTCTGCAAAGGATTTTGTACAGGCCCCACATAAACCCGATGTCAAGGTTTCCATTCTCCTGGTGCCTGGGTGTTCCGGTGTGGTACTCGGAGACCCCAGCATGGTAGAGCTGACGCAGGGAAAGAAAAGCAAAGAAAGCAGAACTGTAAAATTGTTACAAGAAATGGGCTGGGGTTGTGGCTCCCTGGTGGTGTTTGCTTGTTGTGTGTAAGGCCCCAAGTTCAATGCTGAGAAGTACAATAAACACACAAACAGGCAATCAAGAAAGAGGTGGTACACGCGTGGCTGAGAGCGAAGTTCGCAGTGTCGGCAGGGCTCCCTGGAGGTTTGTTTGCTGTCGGGGTGGTTGTCCGGTGGTGTAGTGGAGTCTGTCTTTGTCGCTAAAGGTGCTGTGTCCATCTGGAGGACCACACTTTGCCCAGGGTCGAAGTCTGCCCCCAGGCCTCCTGGCCTGTTGCCCAACCCTGGGAACCATCTCTAACCCGAGCATGCGACATTAGGAACTAACGCGGGTCCTTTCCCCCAGGAAGGATTCGTCCGTGTTGACCGAGATTACGTGCTGAAGTCTGCAGAGCTGGCGAAAGCGGGGGGCTGCAAACATTTCAACCTGCTGTCCTCCAAGGGGGCCGACAAGTCCAGCAGTTTCTTGTACTTACAAGTAAAGGTTTGTGCGTGTTCTGTCTTCCACATACAGAGGGTAATTGACAATACTAAGTAACCTGTATAATCTTAAAAAAAAAAAAAAGAAAGAAAGAAAAAACAAAAACCCACATTATATTGTGGATTTTGTTTGTTTGTTTTTTTGTTTTTTGAGACAGGGTTTCTCTGTGTAGCTTTGCGCCTTGCCGCTGCCGCCGCTGCCACCACCACCACCGCCCGGCCATATTGTGGATTTTTCAAAGCTGCAGGGACTGTTTTGGGAGAAACATACTTAGAAAGCAGTCATGGTTTAAAAGATGTCTTGCCCATGAATTATTCAGTAAAATTGGTGGAGGAAGTAGAGGCACCCTTGGCCTTGGATAGCATGGTCTCTGGGCCTCGGAGATGACGTTCCCTCCATTTTCCTCAGGCTAGGGAGACAGAATTTTGTGCCTCTTGCCAGTACAATACATGGCTGTTGGTGATTTTAACCAGAAGTTTCCATTTCCTAACCTTGAGGTAGAGTTGCTGCTGCGGGACAGCAGACCCGGTTCCGTGCTCTGCGTCTCTAGACATGGGTCTCTGTCCTCAGGGTAAGAGCAGTGCCTGAGGGATTACCAAGCCACAGACTCCTCAGTGTGAAATCCTGTTTCAGAAGCGCACTTGCCTTTTGCTCAACTACTCCAGCAGAAGGGGCTTTCGTCTAGTTAGGCACCATTTGTCAGTGGTCCTCACCTGGACGTGGAGTGGATGCTTTGTACATGCCCGTCATTTAGAGACTCAGTTCCTCGCTGTAGTCATAGCCATCACTTGGGATCCTCATTGCCTTTTTTTTCCAGGCACAGCACCCTGAAGTCTTGGCTCCATTTTTTATTGGTTCCTATGCCTACCCACTTCACGCCTTGGTCTCTTTACTGAGTAGATTTTGAAGAACACATCACACTATAGCTCCCCTGGCCTCCCTGATTACATGCCTGGTGTGAAAATTCATGGCTTTGTAATTTAAAGCACCTTCTATTTGTAACTTCATTATTTTCCTCCGGTCTGGGTGGGCGTTGCTAATGCTTAAAAGTGATTGACACAGGGGGTCGCCTATGTCCTGCTGGGTGGAGGCTCATCTCCTGACCACCATATTTTTCTGACCTATCACAACTGCCTGTACGCTAAAAGGTGGCTGTGGGGCCTGTGGCTCTAAGGACGGACTGAAGGGGGTTGGGTTGATGCTTCGTTTACCCTCTCCGGGTCTGTTTAGACACTAATAAATGGAGTACTGTGGAGCCTGGCCAGCCTACCAGGGGTCCCACCCTGAAAGAAAACTCACTTTCCCGCCTCTACAGCTGTCCACAGTGCCTCAGTTAGGGGAGGGAGTTTGTCAGTCCCACCCACCTGCATGCTAGACTGTCGACCAGCTTGATCTTGTTCAGGCAGCCACGGCTGCTGAATTCATGAGTGCAGCGGCCCTGTCATGTCCAGAAGACACTGTCTTGTTCAGGTCCGTTCTAACCTCTGGCTCTTACAGTCTTTCTGCTTCTCCTCCTCTACAGTGGTCACTGAGCCTTGGGGGTCCTGGGGTGATGTCAAGCATTTGAGGTTGAGCATTCCACTGACGGTTATTCTCTGCGTTTTGACCGTTAGCAGATCATTCTCAGTGTGCCAGGGTTAAATGGCCTCTTCCTCCCCTCCAGGCCCTAGACTCAGGCTGTCCGTTGGGACTGATGTGAGTCTTGACAGCTGCAGAAACAGATGCCCTTCAAGCCCAAATGATGCCCGCTCAGGCTTTAGCTGAGTGCTTTGGTCTTGGTCAAACACTGATTTGGTTTTACTTTATTTTTTTTTAAAATCTTAACAGGGAGAAGTAGAAGCCAAGGTTGAAGAATTAAACTTTGATCGCCTCTCAGTGTTTCGTCCAGGGTAAGTTTTATCCTGCCAGGAGTAAGTAGAGAGAGGCTGACAGCTAAGAAATCTGTGTACAAGGCTGGCTAGTGATGAATTGCTTCTCTGAGGGACCCACCCTTCAGCTTTGAAAAAAAGAGCAGCTTGGGGCTGCCTCAGAATCATCTGGAACTTTCTGGAAGTAGTTGGTTGTTACGTGCATTTTTCTTAACATTTTAAATTTTATTCACTTAATGCCTTTTTAAACCCCCACCCCTCACCCTTTATTTAACAAATCAAACTTTACAACCACATGAGCCAACTGATTTTCTTGAAGCTGGAGGTTGGTCTCTACCGAGGTGCCCCTCCTTGTTGGCAATGCCACCTTCTAGATATGACCTCTCTTGTGCATGTGCAGAAAGACGTCTCATGTCTTTCTCATAAGAACAGCAGCCCTGTCCTCCCTCAATACATCTTAACTCTAACTACCTCCATAAGGGCCATTTCCAAATACAGTTACCTTTGGGGCTAGGGCTTCTGCTGACAGGTTCCCGGGAACAGAACTCAGTCTGAAGTATCTGTAAAGTCTTGAGCGTATGTGCCATCTCTTCCTCTGCCTTTCTCTGTCTCCTAGAGTCCTCCTGTGTGACAGGCAAGAGTCTCGTCCCGCTGAATGGCTGGTTAGGAAATTCTTCGGCTCTCTGCCGGCCTCCTGGGCCAGTGGGCACTCTGTGCCTGTGGTGACAGTGGTGAGGGCGATGCTGAACAACCTGGTGAGTCCCAGCAGTGGACAAATGGAACTTCTGGAAAACAAAGCCATCATCCACCTGGGGAAAGACGGTGATGTGCCCCAGCCGTGACCACGCAGGAGGACAGCTTGTTCTCAAACCTCAGTGCCTGTCACCAAGTCAGTCATCTGGGGGTCTATAAAACAGCCTCTCTCTAGTCTTTGTGGTGTTCCCCTCTCCTCGTCCATGCAGCTCTCTGGAAACAACAGTGCTCCGGCCCAGTTGTTGGTGTACCAGTTGTACATTTAAGTCACTCTGGGAGCTGTGGAAGGACAGGTTTGTGTCGCAAACCTTCTGGACTTGGTGGGTTGAGGACAGGGATCTGCGGTTTTGACTTCCATGTTCACTGGAGGCCTCTGGGCCTCTGGTTGTGAGCCCAGCTTTGAAGCACTCCTACAGAGACACCTGAGCAGTGGGGCCCTCACACTCCAGGCAGGCGAGTGCTGGTGAGGCTTGTTGACAGTCTAGTCTCCAAGCTGCATGGTGCTGATGAGCTGCACGGTGCTGGGTGGACACGGCACCTTTTCTGCATGTCAGCACAGAAGTTATGAAATGAGCTCCTGTGATTCTTTGAGGAATAAAAGCAGATGGACAAACACTGGGTGCTGTTTCAATTGCTGAAAACTGTGGAGGTATGAGTGGGAAGGTGCAGTGATGGTCCCCGGGGATGGCGTCCCAGCCCCCAACACTGCAGGTGTCTGCAGAAAAGTAGGTTTATGTTCTTGGCGCTCCTAACTCTCTAGCAACCTTATAAAGCCATACTGTTGCCCTCACATCTTTTTTTTTTTTTTCATTTAAAGTTCTACTCCCACCCTCATATTCCAGGTGGGGAATCTGAGGCACACAATGGTCAAGCACCTCGTTCAAGGGTCTAGAGCTGAAAAGCTAAAGCTAGGAAAAGGCGGGGTTGAGATTAGCCCCACTCAGCCTGGCCCCATAGCTTATATTTATTTTTTGTGTGTCTGCCATATGTGTGTGTTCTCTCAGGCCAGAAGCTGGTATCAGGTTCCCTGGACCTGGGGTTACAGATCCACCTATGCGGGTGCTAGGAACTGAACTCAGGTCCTCTGGAAGAGCAGCAAGTGCTTTTAACCACTGAGCCATCTATCCAGCCCCAGAAGCTGGTTTCTTTAACCACTCTGTAAAAGTACCCCATATCCATCTATTTCTAGAGGATTCCAATTAATTTAGCACATTGAGGATGCATAAAACTTAAATTCTTGGGTTTTTCCATTGGTCCACAGTCCTTACAATTAACTGCCAACAGTGGTTAATCTAAAATACTTTGGCACTAAACTCAAAGACTCAGTATGATGTACTTTTCTATTGTTTTGTTTTGTGACAGGGTCTTGGGTAGCCCAGGCTGTCCTCAAATTCAATAAATAGTGCAGGATGACCTTGAACTTCTGATACTTTGGCCTCCACCTCCCAAGTTTTGGGGTTACAGGTGTACCCCATCATGCCTAGTTTCTGTAGTACTGGATTGAACCCAAGGCTTCATGCATGCTAGGTAAGCAGTTTACCAACTGAGCTAAGTTCCAGTCTGAGCTGATACAATTTAACCAGGCTGGGAAGAAAACAGAGAGTGGGAAGGGTCAGTGCCCAGAGGAGCACATGGTGCCAGTTCCATCACGATAAAGGTGTGACTTAACTTCTGTGCTGGGGAACCAAGTCTATTGTCCCAGTTACACCTCACATTCTGGTGGACACTGCTGACTGAATACCATCCCCTACTGTATGTGGGTGCACATTCTTGGAAGATAGTACACATTGTCAATGTTAAGTCTTCTAGAGCAGACCGAGATCTTGGAATGTGTGTTACAAGGAGACAGCGCTGGATGCATGCCTGTAATGCTAGCACTAGGGAGGCTGAGGCGGGAGGACCATGGCTCAAAGTCAGCCTGGACTAGAGTAAAACCCTTCTCAAAATGAGAAGTTTACTTCCTGCCAGTGGGGTTCCCTTGTGGCTGGCTGGGCTTGGAAGAGCCTGAACGTGTTTCCATCACATTAGTCTTGAGCCCCCAGAAGTGAAGCAGCCTTTGGGGGTACTCATAAGAATATGCTGAGCCTTGTAGGCTCTGAAAGCAACCAGATTCCGTGGCCAATTACTCTACCATTTCTGCACATCAAACATTAAGGAGCAAATGAGTCCACATTCAGATCTCTGTAACAGTAGAGTGATGTCAGAAGGATCTAGGTTCATGTTTGGAAGAGAAAATTAGCCCATGCCCAAGCCCTGCACCATGGTGAAATGTCAGCTTCACAGAAGCTTCTGCTCAGTCACTTCCAGACTGGCATTGTGGTCCCTGACAACATCTGGGGATCACTGATTCAGCAGGTTCCTTCAGCAGAGAAAAATGGGCCTTGCTGGAGAGAAAAGTTATGCGATGGAAGTTGGATGGGCCCGGGTAAAGAAAGGGCATACATTCATTAATTTCTTCAGCAAGTGCTTATTAAGTTGGTGATGAATTAGTGAGCAGTGTACTAGCCAAGATTTCTGGCGATGTCCTAGAATGTCAGGGTGCTTCAGAAGTTAACATTTGGTGGGCTCCATCCTCTTCTGTGAGTCATTGTGGAGTACGGCCCTTGGGAAAGGAGGAAAAGAGGAGAAGGGGAGGGAGAGGAGATGGAGAAGATAAGTAAATGGATGGTGGCAGTAAGAAAGACACAGGCTGTGCCTGGAATGACACAGCCTGTTTCTAGAGATGGTGGAAGACCAGTCACACAGGGAGGACTGCAGAGAAACGGTGTCTTCTGGTCATGATAGGACCTCTGCACTCCAAATCAGCAGCTGTGGCTGCCTGTACAAGATCGAGCCAGTCAACATTCCAACAAGGAGGGGGCAGGATTCATGAGCTCCCAACTGAGGAGCCACGGGAGAGGGAGAGGGAGTTTCCTTTAAGGATGTGGCCACTCCAGTGAATGTCCCCACACCCAGAGTATATGGACTCCAGAAACTGGAACCCATGTTACTATTTTTTTTTTCAAAGGATGCAAAGGGGAGGGACATGGGAGTGGGTAGATCTGAGAGGAGTTAAGGGGTGGAGTGGGAGGAATATGATCAAAATACATTGTATGAAATTCTCAATAAAAATATTTTAAAGAATATAAATGGCGGCGATGTGAGCAAAGTCCTGGTGGTGGAGCAGACCAGGAGGAACCGCCCACTGGAGAGCTTCAGAGATGAGCAGTGCACAGGCTTGAGGGTGTGCATGTTGGGGAGCTGAGCTGAGCTGATGGCGAGCTATGCAGGCCTAGCTGGCCATGTCCTCAAACATGCCCGTGCACAGTCCAGCCTTAGACTGCACCTTGGAGGCATTACCCACCCAGAAGTACTGCTGCCCACCTGTCTGAGGGAATCCCATGGTTAGATACTAGGAATATTAAAAAGGAGGCAGCCTGAGGGGTGGCAATCACCCCATCACCAGGGCAGACCGCCTCCTTTGCCGGCGCGTATCAAACAGTCCACCTGTTTCCATGGTGTGGGATCAAGTTAATGTCTAAACTTTTCACACACATGTAACCCTTACTATAGCCCTCAGGCTACAGCAGTCGCGATCATGTTTTACCAGCCGGGAAACTGAGGCTGAGAGGAGGCAGGGATACCTGCTCATGATCTTAGACTCCTAGCTAAGGTTGAAATGGGGTTCAAACTCTGTGTAGAGCTTATGTTCTCACTTTCCCACTTTAACGCCCCTAGGAGGGGGTGTGGCTTGGCTCCATTTGACTTCAACAGTGCACATCTACTTATCAGGAAAGTTGTTCTCTGAGCCTTCTCTGTCTAGGGACCTAGAGTTCTGAGCCTAACCTGCACTAGCCGCCGCCGCCGCCAGAGGGCGCTGCGGCAAGTCGCGCTCAACCTTGCCGTTGCGCATGCGTCCACGCTGCAGCGGCCGGGAGAGGTGCCCGGCTTCTCGCCCCACCCGGTCGAGAAGCCCACGTGACCCGGAAGCGCTCTCCCGCCGGCGCACGACCGGCGTCTAGGTTGCTCCGTGACTACCGCGCGCCCGCGCTCGCTCCCGGCTCCGGTGCCGCGCTGTGCGGCCGCGCGCTTTGGTCGGCGGCCATGTGTTCGCTGGAGGCGGGGAACGGTGGGTCCCTGGCGTGGGCGGCGGGGGAAGGGCGGAAGGGCGGCCGGGCGGCCGGGCTCGGGACCCGGTGCTGACAGTGTGCCCCGCAGGCCAAGGCGCCGAGCTGGGGCCGGAGCCCCCGGAGCTGTCGGACAGCGGAGACGACGCCGGCTGGGAGGACGAGGACGCCGAGCCCGCGCACGGCCGGCAGCACACGCCCTGCCTGTTCTGTGACAGGTTCGTGCCCGCGTGGGAAGCGCGCTGTGGAGCTAGCGAGCACGTGGCGGGCCGGAGGCCGTGGTCCACGCATGGCCGCTGATTGACAGGGGCCGCTCACGTGGCCCGGGGGGCGGAGCGGAAGCCGCTCTGGGTTTGTCTCTGCAGCCTAGTCAACTATCTTCTTCCACAACACACACCCACCCCACCCCACCCCACCCCACCCCCGCTTCCCGACCCAGATCCTAAACCGGGTCTGGCATACATACCATCACTCTGGAGGCTGAGGCAGGAGAATGGCCACGAATCCCAGGCCATCCTGAGCTACCTAGTTAGACCTCCCTCTCAAACCAAAAAACCAGAACTCCACACTTTAGTCTTAACTCATGAAGACACAGTATGGGTAGTTTTAATCTGTTTTACTTGGTAACAGATTCTGGGTTTACTTGGGTAACAGATTTTCGGAGTGTGTAGTCCGGAAGAGCGCTTCTGTTTCTACCATCCTATGAGGATTGAGGGAGAAATTGCTGCCTTTTGTACTTAGGGGAAATGAAGCTACAGAACCACCAACTTGTTCAAGGTCACGAAGCTGCGTTTTGTATTCGCAGAACACACCTTCTTTTCACTTAAAATCCTGCATCTTAGTTTCAAGAAAGTGACTTTGGGTGTGTGGGCAGGAAAAGGGGGTGTTTGACATTGATCAGTGCTGCTGGGCTCCCAGTATGGGGGAGGCATGGTGCAGACTGGTGACATTGGTGTTCCTAGGTGGCACCTCATTGGAGAGGAGGAATAACTGCACACATATTAATTGAGCATCCGTGGTGGTGCAGTGCCCTGTGATAGGTTGTGAGGACGATTCAAATGACCTATCTTGGCAAACACGGGTTGAGAGTTACCTGTGTGCTAGGCGTACAGAAGGGTGCAGAGTCTGTCTGCATATTCTTGTCGTTCCTGCCCTTCCGTGTTGGAGGTTACATACAAAGAGGTGTGATTCTTCACCTTCAGTGCAGGTGCTGTGGGACATCCAAGGTCGCTTGAATTCTCTGCCAGCTGGACAGCTGTGTGCTGTGTGTCTAAAAGCATGTGCTGTGCGGGTTCACAGGGAGGAGGAAGAGAATCAAGTAGGGGACTTTTGTGACTTGAGAGACACAAAATGCATCAGAGAACGCTGCGTCACCCAGAAGCCTTTGGGAGGTTTTAGGGTGGTCAGCATTTTGACTTCTTCCCTGAAGATTGTCCCATGAGGATGTTGCTTGTCTCTTCAGGTTGTTTGCATCTGCTGAGGAAACATTTTCACACTGTAAGTTGGAGCATCAATTTAATATTGATAGTATGGTCCATAAACATGGTGAGTATCTCTTAGAATAAAGACAGTTTTGCTTGGGAAGTTTAGGCTCAAATTTTACCATTTTCCAGACCCTTCATTTTCTTTGTGTGTGTGCTTGCCCAAAGTGGATGTCAGGTCACTTCCTGAGTTGTGCTCCACTTCCTGGGATTGAGGCAGGGTCTCTTACTTGAACCCTGACCTTGCTGACGTGGCTGGTCTGGTTAGCCAGTGTGTTCGAATGATCCCTGGTCTCTGCCTCCCAAGCACTGACATTATAAGAGGCCACCACTCTACCTGGTGTTTTGTGTGGTGTGGGGAATTCGAACTCACGTCCTCCTGCTTGTCATGTAAGTGGGCTTACCCAGTTAGCTACACAAGTCTAACAGCCCGAGTTTGCTCCCTAGAACTCACACAAAGGTGGAGGAAGACAGCCAGTACACCTGTCGCCCCCTCCCTGACATTCATACCATACCCCCACATCATACATTATAATAATAAACAAAAAAGGCAAGGAAAGCACTTTAACACTCGTTCAATATGGCTGTTCCTCAGATAAGATATTTACAAGTATCAAAATTATAATTTCTAATTCTTAATACAAAATTCCAAATACAAGTGATACTTTAGGGGTCAGAAATACCTCATTGGAGGAGCGTTTGGTATCAGTTAAAACAAATATATTGTATTAAAATCAGTGAATTATTTCTTCTTCTGTTTAGGACTTGAATTTTATGGATACATTAAACTAATAAATTTTATTAGACTTAAGGTAAGTTGGAAATGTAATAATTTTAGGAATTTATGAAGTTCCCAGAGGCTGCCATGCCCCTGGGCTGATTATTAATGGACGATGAG